GAGTAATAAAAACAGCCTCCACCCTAGGTCTTTTATCAGTGTGTGATATTTTTAGTCGAACCAGTTGAGTCACATTTAATACAGCTGTGGTTCTGGCCATATTTAACATTCTCCAACTTTGAAATGCATGGCGAGCAGCCCCCCCCAGTTTACTTCCTTACCTTAAAATGGAACAAAAGACATGATAACTATACAATCTTTTTGTTTGTTTCTTTTACGTTTAGTGTTTATGTGTTGTTATTTCTCACATTAACTATTATGTGAAGTATTCTCAACACACAATGGCCATATTGACACTGTGGAGATCGAGTTCACAGTCATTATTGGATTGCAATAAAGCAAGACTTCTTTCTGATCACATGATAACTACCGTGCCCAAGTGTTTATGTCACGGTTACATCATCTGATTTGTGTTATATCCACTCTCAGATGAAAACGGCCCATATAAAAGGTTTAATAAAAAGTGACGATTTATCATATATTAGGTCATATTTTTAGTCGTGCACATGCCAAATATGTTGATAGTCAGTATGTGGCTATTAAAGTACCTTTCCTCTCTATACAGGGCCATTTTTCAATGGTTGCTCTGTGTTTTTTCAGGACATTGACTTGATTGACATCCTATGGCGACAGGACATTGATCTTGGCGCAGGAAGAGAAGTTTTTAACTACAGCAACCGTCAGAAGGAAAACGAGGAGGAGAAGCCCAGCCCACAGGAGAACAAAGACAGGAATGAGGAACAAGAAAGCTGGAGAAATGGCGTGAACTTACAAGGGGCTCCACCAGTGGATGGAGAGACTGGAGAGAGCATTCCTGAGCAGGTTTGTTAACACCAAGCCTTTCATTATATGCTATTGTTTTTAGTCGGACGCCTGCCTTTTAAGACATAAAAAGGAAACTTAAAAATAGGAGCTGTACACAGGTGATAAAAAGGAAATTTTCTCTGCTCAGTATTAATTTTATAAATGTAGAGACTTTCCACTTAGTTTCTTTGCTGCATTTGACCAAGATGTTGCAAGTTTAAAAATTTGTGCTCAAAATCAAAATTGCTCCGCATGTATGTAATAGCATCATCTCGTTGTTGAGTCACACAAGCCGGTAATATAAAGCACATCAAGCCGTTGCAGTTAGATTAAGGTAGAAGTTCATTTCACAGAGACGCACATGACTGTATTGCATTTATTTTAAGGCTTCCCATCCAAGAGAATTTTCCAGCGAACCAGAGGCAGTTCAGAATCACAAGATCATGTTACCCACCATAAAAGTACAACTGCATAGAGACGCATAGTGTCAAGCACAGGGTTTATACAAACCCATAACGAAATCAAAAGCAAAAGAAATTTGTGTTAAATATTGATTAGATACATTAGCTGGGGATTGACTTGACAAATACACAGAGTATTAACTAACTGCATTAATAGTCCAAGAAACAAATGAGAGATTACAGGAATTTGTCTGTTTAGGCCTTAAAATTTCAGCAGCTAGACTTAAAAGAAGGGGTTGGGGTTTGTTTGTTTTTAAACCAATTATGACCAGATCGAGACGTATTTAGAAAAGTAAGTGCATTTCTGACTGTGTCTGTTTTTCCACATTACAAAGAAATGCTGCTGCAGTAAATCAAAGGAAACTGGCTGCATGGTAAAATTACAGAAAAAGTATTGACAGCTCGTTTCCTGGACTTTGTCCTGTAAAATAAAACAGAAGTTTTCTGTTAATTCACAGAAATCCCCCCCTCTCCCCAACACACACACACACACACACACACACACACACACACACACACACACACACACTTTTTCTGATATATAATGAAAGTAATAGTAAAACAAACCCAAAAAAACCCACCTGTTGGGTTTATTTTTTGTTTTGTTTTTGTTTATCCGGTACTTTTTTGGCCTAGTATTGTATGCTATGGGTGATTTCTTTGTTAGTAAGAAGGTTGTAAAAATGACGATTACTCAGATCTCTGCCTCAGGTTAACAGTTCAGACTTTCATGAGGTTATCTTTCCTTAAAGAGAAAAATACAGTGAAAAGTCACAAATTTCTGCCTTTAAATAAAAATTATAATAATAATAATTTAAACCCCCACATTGGGAGACATTTTTGGCCCTTGGGCCACATGTTGGACACCCCTGAGCTGGACTGTCGGAATGACTGATGCTTACAGCCTTAAACTGTTTGAGCTAATATGGGCAGGGTGTGAAAGCCCAAAGGAGAGCCCTCAAAAAAGGAGGGTCTCAAGTCTGCTTCCAAGCAGAATCTGCTGGAGTTTGCTTGTGATGTGAAACAATCACAAGCACTGTTAAGAAAGCAATGTCTTGATTTCTATTGGCAAAGTTAGTGACTAAGAAGCCATGATCGGGTTTGAGTTGGTTGATTGGCTGCGTAAAAAAAAATAAAACCGCTCACAAACTGACAAAATCATTTGCATAGTTTTTGGGCTATAAATCCAAAGTGTGATATCATTTAAAGACGGTCAAGGATGACCTCAATAATGTGCCCGGAAACCCCTCAGGTGAGTCAGTTGTTAACCTCAAGCACTGATTTACTGTTTAAACGTGCATGTAGCCTAATGTTAGCCACAATGGACCACTCTTAGATTAGGAGCTGTCCTGGCTGGGTGCACATGTTTTTGTAAAATGTATATTTTTGCTTTTAAACTTCGCTGTTGTATTTCTTTGTAATGTAAGTGTTGATTAGATTTTCGTCTCCTACCTGGAAGTAAAAAAATTATTAATTAATTAAGTAAAAAAACATTTTTTGATTCCCCCCCAAAAAGCATATGTGTAAGTGAATTAAAAAGATGTAACAAAGAGTTAACAAATGACCTAAAACAGTGGTTCTCACACTTTTTTTTTCTGGCTTTTCAGAAGCCCCAGTAAAAACCCATGTAAAAATAGCTGGTTAAAAATATTTGTATCTGATTTTTTCTTTATATCGTCCTGGTGATTTTCCTCTGACGGGATGGCCGCAGCCACTTTAGTGAGCACCAGAGTTCTGAATATGCAGTAAAAAGCCGACCTTCAATTAACTAAGTTCTACTCCATATTTTTTTCCCTGGTTGTGTGCCCCACAGTTTAAGAATTGCTGACCTAAAATGGCAACTACTTGTCAACTAGGAATGTCTTTGGTGAGGGAAGCCCTGGTTTATACCCTGGATAATTATTCAAATTTAGGCAGCAATCCCCCATACCAATTCATATATATGAACTTTTTCATGTGTGTACAAAAAAAGCCATTTTGTCTGGACAAATAAAATATAAGAGCTTCTCTTGTGAAAACACTTTAAGATTATTACCTTTCTTTTTTCTTTTTTTTTCTTCGGTGTTACCAGCTCCCAGCTCTCGGCACACAGACCTCACTGTCTCTACAAGAATGCTTGAGGCTGTTGGAGGCCACATTCCCTTTTGGAGAAGAAACTGAGGTAACAAAGAAAAATCTGCTGTTGAAATTGTCATGGCCACATATTTTATTTTTTTGGTGGCATCGCTCCTTCCCCTCCCCCCCACATACATGTGCGGAAAGCCTAAGGCAGTGAGAGCAGCAGCAGAAACCACTAACTAGGGAACAGAACAGACCAGCCATCAGGAAAAGCAAATATGATATTGACAAGTGTGAGGAGTTGGGGTGGAGGAAGCAGTAATTCAAGGCAGGCTAGAGCAGCCTAAGCAGGATGCCTTGGATTTGACTGATGAGATACGATGCACTCCCCTTTTCTCAAAACTTGAGCAGTTCTTACTTTAGTGCAGCTGAAAGATAAATCAGACCTACAGTCTCATATTTTCAATTGGATAAATTGGCACAATAAGCTACATATAATGTAAAATCAAGTTATTTTTTAATTTATGTGATATTTTTAATCAGTTTCCAGCCCCGGTTGTCAGCCCAGAAATTGCCGTTTCCAATGAAGAAGTTCCTTCTACATCTCAGGGCCTCCCTCTGGTGCCACAGCTGCCCTCAGCAGAACCACAGTTAGACCTGGAGCAGCAGTGGCAAGACATCATGGCCATCATGGAGCTACAAGTAAGATGGTTTTGTTTTGTCCTCATGATTGCTTGTGAAGTATATTTTGTAACACCAGACACCTTCAGGTCTACATTAAATTCAAAATACTGAAATTATTTTAACATTGTTTTAAAATAATGCATTGTTCTCTTTAAACTCGTTTTTTAAAGGCAATGGAAGTGAACAACACTTCTCTCCACACCAATTCAAGCAGCATAAGTGCCATAAGTGGGACAACTGAGTCAAGCACTGCGGGAAACTTTGAATTGTCTACTCGCTCGACACCAATAAACCAGGATGTCAGCCTTCATCAGGCTTCCCTCCCCAGCTGCAGCCAAGACTTCCCCCAGATTTTTAACCCTCAGCTGGACTCGGCAAGCATTGCCCCAAGAACCGCCACACTTAGACCCTCCTCCAGCAACTCCACTAACATCAACTCCACATTCGGAGCCACCAACCTAACTGGGATCTTTCTCCCGCCACACGTGAACAGTTCCAGTAACAACGTTACTTCCACCCCTGTCCTCCCCGATCCTTTCAGCACCCTGCTGGAGGAGTCGATGCTTGACGAAATCAGCCTGTTGGACCTCGCCATGGAGGAGGGCTTCAGTCAGGCCCAGGCGTCCCAGTTGGAGGATGAGCTTGACTCAGATTCTGGTCTTTCCCTGGACTCCAGCCACAGCCCGGCCTCCCCAAGCAGCTCAGAAACCTCCTGCTCATCTGCAGCTTCCTCCTCTTCAACGTCTGCCACTTTCTCGGAGGAAGGAGCTGTGGGCTACAGCACTGACTCTGAGGTGGCCACTGTAGAGACAGAGGAAGGAGCTGTTGGAGGTTACCAGCCTGAATATAGCAAGCTCTGCCGTATGAGCTATCAGGACCCCTCCCAGTTCCACACTCTCCCTCAACTTGACAGCATCAGCCATAATCATACCTACAACCTGCCGCTTTCCTCTGCCTTCTCTGAGCACCCAGAGCTCCCCATTTCGGTCGGGAAGAAGACTGTCCGTGACAAACAAAACTCAAAGCCTCAGCCTCCTCAGGACCTGCTCGACAAGCACTCAAGCCGCGACGAGCGCAGAGCCCGGGCCATGAAAATCCCCTTCTCCAACGAAAAGATCATCAACTTGCCCGTGGAAGAGTTCAACGAGCTGCTAGCCAAGCACCACCTGAGCGAAGCCCAGCTGGCCCTCATCCGTGACATCCGCAGGCGCGGGAAGAACAAGATGGCAGCCCAGAACTGCCGCAAACGCAAGCTGGACACCATCATAAAGCTGGAGCAGGGCGTCCAAGATCTGAGGCGCGACAAGGCCCGCCTGCTGAAGGAGAAGATGGAATTCATTCGCTCCATCCGGCAAATGAAGCAGAAGATGCAAAGCTTGTACCAAGAGGTGTTCACTCAGTTGCGGGACGAGGAGGGCCGGCCCTATCCTCCCAGCGAGTACTCGCTGCAGTACAGCGCCGACGGCAGCGTGCTCATCATGCCCCGCGGCGTGACGACCGCCGAGCAGAACCGAAAGCCAGAGAAAAAACAGAAGGACAAAAAGAAGTGAGGGAGCACAAACTGCTGTTTATTCTATAACTTTGCTAAGTCAGTAAGAAAGATTTCTGCAGACACGAGAGAGATGTCCTTATTTCCTTTAAGAAGATTGTGGTGAGTAGAAAAATGGCATTGTTGACTACTCTTCCTGCATTAGTTTCTCCCGTTTCATTCTGTTCCTACAATTTTTGTTCCTGGAAACAACTTTGACGCAGAAGTAGCTCTTCGTTCAAGTACTGAGATTTAATTATTTAGACGAGGAGAAGGGGGATATAAAAGGACATAAAACGAGCTATTAGGAAGAAGAAAAAAAAATTAGCTGCTCTTGATCCTTTTGCACCAAACCACTAAGGATGGAGGAGTTTCGCAGGGTGAAAGAAGGGACTGGGGGAGTACAAGAACACTGTCGAGGATGTTTGGAATACCTATGCACCGAAGGTTTTAAAGGACTATCAGATCACATCCCACCCTGGAGACTTTTGGTGATTTTCATAGTCACTGAGGCTTTTAAGTTGCAAAGAAATGCATCGATGGTTGTGAGTTTAGATACCAAAGGCCAAAAGGAAGTCCATTATTTTAGGATGCCAATTAACACCTATACTAACCAAAGGTTGTATTTGGTGCACATCACATGATCTGTATACATCTTAAATGCTCCAACACTGCACTCTAATTCTGTAGGTTCCAGTTTTTGAGTCAGGTGGCATCTAAGTTTAGAAGGCCATAAATAGATCGGGTTTGATGTGTGGAAGGTGGATGTTGAGATGAGAGGAGTGGGAGGCTGAGAGCATTCTTGCGCTGGTCACTGCTGAAAGAGGCCTGGAGGTGAAGTCTTTGAAGGGGAGCAGATTTAGGGAGGAGGCACGCTGCATTGCAAAATGTATCGACTTCCTTATAAATTATACATAGCACTGTAATTTGTCTTTAAAAGGCTTGGCTGTATGCATTTTGCCGTGTCTGTCGCTATTCCTTCGCTGCAGGATTAAATACGGGAGCTGCGTTTAGGAAGGCTCTTATTAACTGTTCATAATCTGTAGTATAAGCAAGGTTATAGGTCTAGCCACATCAGCTTTACATAGACGCCTACACCCTTTTTGTTGAATTCTAAATTCTGAGCCTGTAATTAAAGGAAGAATTCAAGATAACGGTGATGGGCCAGGAGCTCCAGAGAGTAGTGCATTATTAAAACCAACTCCAGGCAGTCTTGAGTCAAAGTCATTCAGTTTTCTTGGATGCCCCATTTTTAGCATTAACAGAAGGCAGGCTCAGTTGACGCTGGGGTGTAGCAACTTCCCTTTCAAGTAACATACGCGCCAAATGTTAAATACAACAGTGTATTAGGGCCGGTTAAGGGCGAAAACAATTTAAAAAGCTTGGCGAAGCTGAGGTGAAGGCCTGAGACAAAAGAATAGAGATTTTTGTTGCTGTTGTTGTTGTTGTTTGTTTGTTTTCTCAGAATTGTTTTGCTTTAACCTCAAATTGAGGAGAAAAAACCTGTTTATTATTTCAAAACCAGAAACAAGAAACAAACTGGCAAATTTATGGGAAGAAGACCTGAAAAATTTAAGAGAAAAATAATTAGGAGAATATTTACAGTCGAAAGAGATATTTTAGGAAAACAAAACAGGCAAATTCATGAGGAAAAAAATGGAAATTTACATTAAAACTGCAGAAAATTATCAAGAAAATGAAATGAAAATTCACAGTTTTTTAAAAAAAAGTAAAAAGTCTGTTGTAAAGAAAATTTATGAGAAAAAACAGACAATTCACAAGAAAAAATGCAAATTTCATAGAAAACTAGTTGCAAATGAATGAGAAAAGAATATGTAAATTAACAAAGCAAAAAGGAAATTGTGGAAAAAGAAAAAGAAAAGATCAATTCAAAAACATAAAGCTGTAACAAGAAAACAGGTTGTTTTTTTTGGTTAGATAAAGTTGCTTGACTAAAAAAATGACCAAAAACAAAAAAACTACTTTGCAAGTTTCTATTCAGTTTCTACTCATATTTGCCAATTTTTTTTCTTGGAAATGTTTTAGAGTTCTCTATAATTGCAGTTTAAATCGAGTTGCCTGATTCTCCTCGCCCTGTAGATTTTGTTTTACTTTGAACGACCCTGGTACGGCGTTGCGACTGTACGAAAAACCACTTGAGGATTTTTTTTAAACTGCTGTAAAGCCAAAGTGTTGGCTTCAATCAAGTTTTTGTGTTTATAACAGAGCGAGCCACGCGACTGATAACACAAAAGCAACTCGAATGTGTGAAATGACGACACGTGTCGTGGCCACTTTGATCTGAATGCCTTTATTTAACGTTTCCGTCACTTTTATGGGTTTTGAGAACCGAAGAGAGGAGGGATTTAAAAAAATGTTCTCAAAGTAGAAGTGCTATTACTTGTCTATTTGAATGAAGTTTGTCAGTACATGTGTTATATCACCTTCTTAAAAAAATAAATAAAATAGGTCCGTTGTGTCAGCTGAGATAGGAGATAGGCTAGATCTTTTTCCAAGAGGCTGAACAGAACTCGCAACATTAAGATGATGTCCAAAAAAACAGTTTTGAACGGAGAAGTGTCCTCATTAAATGTGATATTCAGGCATGAACCTCTGGTTAACATTCACTTCAGTGTAACACCAACTACTTAGTACTGCTACTACTTAGTGCACTTTTTTTGTCTGTCTTGTTCTGTAAATATTTTCATGTTTGTGTTTGTTATGATTTTATGTAGTCTGTTTAAAAACGTCTCCATTAACGGTCACACCCTCTGCTTTGAGTTTGGATGTAGTTCCCTCCGTTTTGAGGTATTTGCTGGCAATCAAGAATTGTTTTTATTGATTAATAAAGTGTTTTTATTTTCACCTGTGACTCTTGTGTTCTAGTTGTCCATGTTTCAGGCTTCCAGTCGGCGAAGGCACTAGATACCTTGACCATGAACAACCTGAAAAAGGTTTATTTTCAGCTTCCTTTTTTTCTATTATTTTTGGTTTCTTTTAGAGTAACTTTGCTTGATCCACAGCTCAAAATAACCCCTATTTATCTAATACTGACCAGCCCCTCAGGTCATCTCCTCCCTTTGAGCCACCTTTCTGCTGCTTGCAAACAAGGTTTGGATGTGGCGTGTTAAAACATCAATAATTCAGGGAACTCCCGCAGCTCTTCTGGAGGGAGATACCGAGGTGTTCTTGAGAGATATCATTCACCAGCGTGTCCTCCCTGTAGGGAATGCCTGAGACATCTCACCTGGGATGCATCCAAGAGGCATGGTCAGATACTCGAACCACTCCAGCTGGCTCCTTTCAGTGTCGAGCTCTGCTCTGAGCCCCTCTCCTGATCTGTAATGCTGAGCCCAGACATCCTCCAGACGAAGCTCATTTTGGCCGCTTGTATCTGCGATCTCATTCTTTCGGACACTACCCAGAGCAATAGGTGAGGTAGGAATGTAAATCGCCAACTTTGCCTTCCTTTGTTTTTTCTTTATGCTTCTGTAGAGCTGACAGATTACCTCAACATTTCCATGCACTTGTATTCCAAGTTTGGTTTTGCAGCTTGATGTGCCCTGTTCGAACAGCACATGGGTGGGACTCCTGCTGTGCCTGAGATGATCAGATTAGAAATATTTACTCTTTGACATCATAAATGGTCAAGAGTAGGGAAAAACCTGCCTGAAATGGTGCTGAGGTGCGTGCACGCGCTCACCTTTGAGATCTCACATATTGTTTGAAAGTCGGTCAGTGTTTACTTTCAGCCGCTTCCTCGTCACAAGGGGTCGCTGCAGCATGTTTTACACCGGATGCCCTTCCTTATTCAACCCCAGAGGGGATTTGTGTCTCCAGCCGAAGTCAAACCAGCAATTTTATGCTTGTCATGCAAATATAATTGCCAGAAAATAAAGAAAGCCCTAATCGGTCCCCTTCAGTTATTATACCTCGAACAATGGTTTACCTTGAAGTAACCGGCTATCCAGACAGCAGAAACGCTGTTTGACTTCCTGCTCTGGTCTCAGTTTTACATCGTGGCATTTATTGAAATGCAATCCAACTTTTTCTCTCAACAGTGACTTTTAACCTGCATGTGATAAAGAAAATCAGAAAAATTCAGGCATCTAAACTACAGACAGACACGTTACCTTGAAATAAAACAACATTTTTAGCCAGTCTGATAAATTAACCAGAATGTAAAGATGATAATTATCTTCAAATTTAAAGTGACACAAAGCCGCTGTAACAAAAAGTGGTTTATTCTCCAAAAGCGACAAGCAAGACGTGACAAACACTACAAAGATTACCAAAGAACAAAATATTACAGAAGTTGTTCATAACCGTACATCAATACGGATGCTAAGGAAACGCCTAAAATGAACACAGTTTTGGCCCCGGAGAGCGCTGATAAACAGAGTAAAAACAATGGCACGCGAAAGAAATGAAAACATCACCTCACTGATACGATGTCATTGCAAGATGAGCCAGATGTGGAAAGGACATCGAAAGCCTGGTGAAGGGAAAATTAACACTGCTTTGTTTGAGCTGGTTTTTGTCAAGCAAATCTGAAGGATATTTACATGGAGATTTGATCTGGATAAAAGTAGAATCGAATGAGTGATACTACGCCAAGAAGACTAATGAGTCCAGGATGTCTTGCTTGCCTCTGGCCCATCCCCCTTCTTCGCCTCCCCTCCCTCATGGAAAGTACACTGAAGTTCAAAATGACATTTCTTCTCCTCCTGCCCCTTCGCCCTGTGCTAGTTTTTCTCATCCTTCTTCTCGTCTTCGGAGGGGTACGAGTGCCAGGTGAGCCGTTCTTCGTAGAAAGAGATGACCACTTGCGGACACTTGACGTTGGCCTCTTTCGCCGGCACAAGGTCCGCTTCATCTGAATTTTTCCTTTAAAAAGGGCAAAGGAAAAAGTAATTTAACCTACTGTAGAAACGCATTTAATGGCACATTTGAATTCCCAACGTGTGGGGCAACACTTACACACCATTTCATGAGGAACATGAGTTCTCCTGTGGAATCTGTGGCACCGATAATCCTTTCTGGATCCAGACCTCGAGCAAAGCCCCTTAACTTCTCTGTCTGAGGATCAAGAAACAAAATAAAACTTAAATCCATCCTAATACAGGATGCCCACAGGATGCCCACAGAAAAACCGTCAAATCGGAGACAAAAAGATTTCTAATCAATCATACAAGACATTTCTGGTAGGTTCTGGGAGGAACAGGGGGAACACTACCAGAGCCCAACAAAACAACCTCCAGCTGGTTACTCATGTACACGGCTCTGACCTAACTCAGAGCCCAGCACTCTGCAGTTTGACTGGTATTCACAAGAAAAACACATTAGAACTGGCAGGTCCACAACTGGCACCCTGCTCTCTTCACAGATAAGAGGAAGAGGTTTACACTGAGCATGTTTGATAGATGTGAGAGTCTTGAGAAGTGGGTCAACAATGATTATAGGGGGGACTTCTGGGTTAAAGGTACTGGAATGGAATCTTCACACCTGGTGTCAAACCACCTTAAGCTGGTGCAGAGAGCCCAGGGTTTGTCCTGCCCAGCCTCATAGTCCTAAACGTTGAAGGCATGGAAGCCACGGAAAGCCCCTCATGTTCTGACCTGAATCCAACAGAGAACCTCTGGGACACTATTGGTACATCAAATGGGGCTAAACAGCACCACAGACTGATGATTCAGGTCTAGGAGGAGGTGAAGAAGCATGCCCAGATGTTGTTGGGAATGCATACAGGAACTAATCCTGTCATCACTGGTTATCCTGGTTTCCACTGTTATCACATCATTTTGTTCTCAAGAAATTAGAAACTATTTCCTAAAAAGTTGGTATGTTGTGTAAAATGTAAATAAAAATGAAACAGTAATTTGCAAATCTCACAAACCTATATTTTATTGACAACAGAACACAAAAAAAATTAGCTTGTTTTGAATTTTATCGCGGCATTGAGTTTTTATTTACATTTTACACAACATCCTGACTTTTTGGTATATCAGGTTAAGTGCTCCTTTCATTTTTTCTTAACAGTGAAGTGTATTTTTAGATAACTTGGCATTAAACGAGACTCATGGAAAAATTGGAACTCACATCATCTTTCTTCTTCTTTGATTTACTGTCGTCTCCTTCTGCTTCTCCGGCTGCCTTCCTTTTTCCATCATGTGCTGATTTCTGGGACTGCAGGAACTCTGCAATCAAATCTGGACAGTCCAGGTTTTCTTCTGGTTCCCACGTGTTATCTTCACTGTAGATTTAAATACACGAAAATATGATTTAACTCCTCATTTAGTTGCTTGTGATGTTTACAGTCAAAATATTCTCCACTATCATCATGCGAAAGCTGCTTTCAGAGTCCAGCTGAGTATCACTGGAGTCTGATAACATAGAGTCCTGATGTTTTTCTCACTTTTTGCAAAGATACTTACACAAGCTATACAATAACTTTCCCTCACACAATGGTTCTGGGGAGGCCAGTCCATTTTTAATACAGTTATTTGCTGTGTTTTTGGCATCGTCTTGCTGAAAAATTAGGCCACTGCCAGTCAGATTGCATGTCAGATCAAAGATCTGATGTTTTGGTGGGGTTTTTTGGGTGGGTGGGGGCAGATATTGAGTCCAGATATTTTGACAAAATTCCCAACATCAGTGACTCAAATGCAGCCCTACACCATGACTGAACCTCCACCGTGTTTTAACGGTGGGCTGTAGACACTTATCCGTACATACTGACATCAATTTGAACCAAAAATTTTAATTTTTGGATTCATCACTCCACAACACCTGTTACCACTGATTTTCAGTCCAGTTTTAGAGTATTTTGGTAAGTCGGCCTGCTTCCCTTCTCTGATGCCTCCTATGAAGGCATCAGAGCACAGCAGATAGATCAGATCAGACTTTTTAAGGACCCACCCATGGCAATATATGCCGATTTTCTGGCTAATAGTTCTTTAGAAATCTCTTTGTTGGTACAAAAACACTAATGTGTGTAAAACTGTGTTTTCTTTGGCATTTTTTTTAAATGATTTGATTTTAAGCTGCATGTAATGACATCTAACTCTTATAGCAGCTGTTTTCAAAGTCAACATGTGGCTCCTTAGAGTTCACGTTCCCACACCACAGACGTGAACCTTTGAAACAAATATATTCATTAAAACTTTGAGGCACATATGACTACCTCCATTAAAAACACCTGTTAGATCTGAATCAGATCTAGCAGACCGAGCTGCCGTACTACCAGATACTCGAAACCTTTAATGATGCTAGAAAAACATTAAAAACCCTTTACAGAAAACCAACAACAGCAGGAACTAGGGCTGTGCGATATGACCAAAATCTCATATCCCGATATAAGAATTCTATCGTCCCGATAACGATATAAATCACAAAAATGTAACATTTTCTGTAAATTCTGTGAATCTCGGGCAGCTCGACTTGCGTGAAGTGTTTCCAGCTGGGCGTCATGTAGCTGGAGTCGAGTGTTTTAACCGATGCATGAAACGATACATTTTTAGACATAAGTTGTAACGCCGTTTTCTTTGTGAGTATTTATTACACAGCGTGCTGCGGGGAAAAGCCTGTTCTAACGTTTGAGTCTAAGGTTTTTTTTTTAGCACCTGGCGGCTCTTTTTTACTTCTCATCCGTAAATAATCTGCTCTTTCACGTTATTCAGTTTATTTTGAAAAGTCTCAACAGGATCTTGAGCTTCATTGTGAAAGGTTTATGTGGAACATAAACAAGCGGACACGCGATGCTGTTACTGTTGTTGATGCTAACGACAACGCATAAAAACAGGCGCTTGTCCGTCTGTGTGGTTATATTAAATATAAGAGAAAGAGAGAAATTAATATAGCCACTACAGTGACCATCAAAACGATGAAAAAATATTGCCGAAAACAGTTTATTTTGCGACACCACAAAACAAACGATAGCGTAAAATGAAACGATAGACGTTTTTATATCGTCATCGATATATATCGTTATATCGAACAGCCCTAGCAGGAACCTTAACTTTTGCATAGCTCATGTTAAGAAGTGCATCTTTCATCTGGCGTTTGTTTGGCAAATCTGGGTTGTCGGGTGAAGATAAAAGTGTGAATGAGCTGACATGAGCCAACCAGTGACCCATGAATTAATTTTTTAAACACTTACTTAGAGAAGCCTTTCCACTTAAGAAGGTACTCTACTTTGCCTTTCACCACCCGTCGATTCAGAACCTTTTCCACCACATATTCTTCCTCCTCTTCTTCTTCCTCGGCCACTTCATCTGGCTTCTTGTCCTTCTCAGCCGAAGTCATTTTGCTCTCTGTCGGTTTGCAAACAGGGGAAATGAGAACACATCTGTGGCCCCAGATGCCTCAGTGGCTTGAAACTGAGAACTCTTACTGCCTGCAGAGTTACAGACGCTGACATGTGTCTGCCGAGTTCAAATGGCATCACAAACACTTATAGAGTCACGTACACGATTCATTTCTTGACACACACCTTAATCGCACAACGACAAGTGAAACAGAGAAATTCATGTTAGGAAATAATGATCTTTAAAACCTTCTGTAACAGTGGGACCATCGTTAGAGGGTTCTGTAGTCAGGCTCATACTCATCAGGTAGACCTGGGGACCCGCAGGTGCCTGGTCAACGTCAAGATTGTTGCATGTTGGAAAAAAACAGCATTGGAGAATGGGATTCAATGACGAGAAGCATGAGAGGCAATGCCGATTATTACAATCAGCCTATGATTGTGGGTTTTTTTTTTAAAGGTTTAAGAGCTTTTCTGTCAAAGAAGTGATTGTCTAATCTACATTGCCTCATGTTAACCATGATTTATAACCTTATATGACATGATATAAGCTCACAGAATGGTATTTCCATGTGCTTCTGCAGAGTGCAAAGTAAGACAATTGCATATACAAGCCCCAGCAAAAATGATGGAATCACCACACTTGGAGGATGTTCATTCAGCTTTTTTTCTCTCTCTTTTCTCACTTTGCTGCAAATAAACAAATCTCTGATATTCTGGCTTCATTACCTTAATAAATTGCATTTTTTCCAGCTCAAGTAGCATAACCATAGTAAATGTACATATGCAAAAGTCTGCAAAAGCTGTTGATGGTGAAGCGTGACCCTAATGAGCTTAAAGAGGGAATCTGACTAAAGGGGTTGTTCTCAGTTGTGTCTACAATTTGGATCATTCAAACAGAAAACTCATGATAGAAATGCACAGCAAAAAGCAAAAAAAAGAAGAAAAACTATTTAATGTTTGTGACAGAAGTGGAAGAGAGGGGCTGATTGAAATGGGATTTCCATACAGGAAAATAAAACAAGCACAGAGTGGGCTAACAAAAAAACCAATCATGGGTAGTGGATTACTGGATTAAAGAGATGTTCAGTGATGAATCTGGGCTGGTCGAGAAGGTGATGCTGGAACTTTTGCCTGAAGAAAACAAGCAAATATCCCCACTCATTCATGGTATGGGGTTGCAAGACAGGTGGAGAACAAGAGGAGGCGGCAGTCATTGACTCAACAGTAACTGGACAGGTGTATGCTCAGATTTGGAACTTTTTCTCATTCCGTGATGAAAGTTTTTGGTAATGATAAGGTGTGCAACCTGCCACTGAGGAAAGAGTGTTAAAGGTTTTTCACTTCAGGGACGAGGTACATCAAATGTATGGTGGAAACTGAGGGAAGTAATGGTTCATTCTGCAAAGCTGATCTGTCAGATCTTACTCATGCCTCAAAGAATTAAGAGTACTAAAATTGTGATGTTTTTGTTATTGATTCCACATTTTTCATTTCCCATTGATTAAAATAATCCCATTGAATGTGTTTGGTGTGTGCTTCATGAGAACAGGTTGTCCAGCTATTAAAGAACAATAGATTTTACCATATGTGTTATTTTATTCTAGGTTCAACAAAAATGAGTATGCATCCTCCCAGTATGTCGATTCCAACATTTCTGTCTTTATTCATAATTTAGTCGATTAATAATAAAGCGGAGGCAGGGTAGGGAGGCATCTATGGCCGTACATGTAGCAGTCAGCATCAACAACGTGAGATTTGCAACACCTGGCGGCGGCTGAGCAGCAGCGTGGAGGGGCTAATTAAAAAAGAAACTGGATTACTTTGGGGGAAAGGGGCGTTGTCGCGGTGTAAAATACTCCTCTGTGCTCAGTGTAGAAGGGATTATTTTTAATGTTAGCAGAGAGCGAGAGGTAGAAGAAAAGAGCGCACGACAAAAGCCTTGCAGGGACCCACAGTGTACAGCTAGCTGGCGATTCCTCCATATTGCCTTCGTGGTAGCAACTAATGTAGCGGCTCAGGGATGCCTGTCGGATGTAAACACCGCGAATAACCGCGCAGTATGCGGAGCTAGTCTCCTGAGCAGGTGTCTTTTTAATACTGACTTAAAATAAACCTCCCAGCTAGCTAACGTTAGCCTCATGCACAATCCAGCGTTAGAGCACGTTTGGAAGGAGGAGGGTGAAAAAATGGAACTCACCGATGACTTACAGTGTAATCGGTTTGTTTTAAAACTTCCGCCCGAGCCGAAATGAAACAGCTACGGCTATCGCAGGTTTACGGTAATAACGTTTGTGTCGGTTTGTTGTCGAAACACAGAGCCGCTACCTTCTCCACGGCGAAATGTGTCGTTTCCGCCCCTTCGTCTGGCGTGAAGGGAGCAGAAGAAGGAGGGGAAACGCCCGCTGGAGCGCGAGGAGGAGCCCCTCCGCAGACCGCGAAGCACGCGGATGGAATGCTCGGCGCCAGCACGCGCCACTCGCTCTCGGTGCGGACGATATACAGATCTACGGAAGCAGCATGCGCGCAAACGGCGGGCTGGAGATGAACGAAGCGGACCTCCCTGCGTTATAAACACAGGTTATAGATGCTCGAGGTGCTTTATAAATCTGTGCACAGCTGGATAAATACCCA